ATCATTAGTATTGTCTTAAATGGGCAAGATGTCATTTACTCTTTTTGAAATCAGATTATTTGCTCTTTAAATGTCCAGTCATGTTCTTTACATGGTCTGGAAATTAATTCTTTATCAAATGAATAGCTGGCTAACATTTTCTCCCATTTTGTAGGTTGTCTGTGATTTCTGTTGATTGTTCCTTTGCTGTACAGCACCTTTTTAATTGATGTTCTTGTATGTCTATTTTTGCTTTTGTTACCTGTGCTAGTGGGGTCATATCCAAAATGCTTTTTTCCCAGCCCAATGTCCTGAAAAGACTCTCTTATATACTGAAGTCTTTGATTTTCGCCAGGTGTGGTGGCACGTGCCTGTAATCTCAGCATGCAAGGGTCTGAGGTAGGAGGATTTCTGTGAGTTCAAGACCAGCCTGGGCTACATAGTGAGTTCAAGGCCAGCCTGAACTATATAACGAGACCTTGTCTCAAAAAAACAAAACAAAACAGAACAAAAATAAATAAAAAATAAAAAAGTCTTTGATTTGTGTATATGGTGAGAGATAGAAATCGAATTTCATTCTTCTCTATGTCTGGTATTTATTTTATTTATATATTTAGGTACAGGAATTGAACTCAAGACCTTGCACTTGCCAGGTAAGTGCTGTGCCACTGAGCTATCTCCTGGACCCTTCTTCTATATGTCTGTATTCAGTTTTTCTACCACATCCATGATAACACATTATCTCTAATGTGTGTTCCTGTTGCCTTTGTCAAAAATAAATTGAAAATAAATATGTGAATTTGCTTCTGGGTTCCCTCCTCTGTTTCATTCGTGTATATGTCTGTTTTTTATGACATTTTATTTTTTCTGTTTTGGTTACTGTAGATTCATAGCATGTTTTGAACTCAGATATTTGCTTAGAATTGACTTTAGCTATTTAGACTCTTTCCTGGTCCCATACAGAATTTAGGAGTGTTTTTCTTCTATGTCTATGAAGATTGTTTTTGGTATTTTGATAGGAATTGTATTGAATTTGTGGTTTGCCGTAAGTAGTATAGACATTATAACACTATCAATTCTTCCAATCTCCAAACATGAGGCATGTTTGCATTCTTTGGTTTCTTCTAGTTTTTTCATCAGTGCTTTGTAATTTTATACAGATCATTCACTTTCTTGGTTCAAGTTATTCAAATGTGTTTTATTTTTTGTAGTTATTATAAATGGGGTTGCTTTTTTATTTGTCTCTTTGGAAGTTTGTAATTGCTGTATAAAAATCTGTATTTTTTTCATGTTGACTTGGAGTTTTGCCATTACTAAATTCATCCATCAATTCTAATAGTTTTTGAGGTTTTTCTAGATATAAAATCATGTCAATTACAAACAAGAATAATTTGACTTTTTTTTTTACTACTTGAGTGTCATTGTTTTCCTTTTCCTTACTGTCTTTTTGTGAGACTTTCAATACTATATTGAATAACACTTTGTAGATATCCTTGTCTTGTTCCTGATCTTGAAGGGAACAGTTTTATTTTTTTCCCCATGGAGTATATCAGCTGTTTGTAATTGCCTTAGTTACTGTTATTGTTGCCTAAACAAAATACCTGATACCCAAAGTTAAAGGAGGAAAGGTTTATTTAGTTCACAGTTTGTAGAGGTTTCAGTCCATAGGCAGCTGACTCCAAGGCAGGGTGCTGTGGCAGAGGAGAATCACAGAGGAGAAACAGTTCATGGCAAAGCAGGGCAGACATAAAGCAGCAAGCAGCAAGCAAGTGACAAGCAACTAACGGAGCTGTCCTCTTCCTGTCTCTTATATTTTACCTTTAATCCTAGCTCAGATCCTTGATCCCAGCATTATATACCCTTAATCCCAGCATCACACACTCTAGATCCAGCCACCTTTGAGAAAGCTCCACCTATGACTGCATGAGGCTTTGGGGAGGACATCTAGGCACAAATTGTAACAGTCATATACAGCCTGTATTATATTAAGATACATTCTTTCTATACCTACTTTGTTATGGTGTTTCCTATAAAGGCCTGTTAAATTGTATTGAATCATTTGTTGCATCTATTTAGATGATCACATTGCTTTTGCCCTTTATTTTGTTGATGTTATATATACATCTATTAATTTGTACATGTTGAACTGCCCTTGCATGTTTAGGTAAATGTCACTTGATCAAGATGTCTTTTTAAGGTGCTGATCTATCTGTTTGCTAGTATTTTGTTGAGAGAATTCTTATATCTATTTTCATCACAGATTTGGTCTGGTCTTTTTCTTTTTTATTTTGTCCTTGTTTGGTTTTAGTATCAACGCAATGCTGGCCTCATATAATGAGTTTAGAAAGGTTCTCTGCATTTTAATACTTTGGAATAGTTTGAGCAGAATTGGCTTAAATATTTTTTCACTTGTTGAGAAACAAGAGCAAATATCTAATTCCTCTCATGAATTTTTTAGCTCAATAGACCAACTTATAAAAATCCAAGTAATCTCATAATTATTCGCTAGTGATTCATCTCAGAGTCTACTGAAGAAGCAAAATGTAAAGACTGGCAAGTCTTTGTATGTGAATGGATATGTGTGTAGAACTCAGAACTCTTGGGTATTGGCTGATTTAAAAATATTACTGGAAAGATTTGAAATTAATACTGACAATATTTAGTTCATCATGCCATTCTTTCTATTGTGATAAAAAAAACACAAACTTTTGGAAATTTAAAAAAGATATTAATAAGATCTGGTTCAGCTTGCATGATGATGGATGTGTTGATTAATTAGATTGGGATAATTACTGCACAATATATGTGTCTATCAAATCATCATACTGTACAATTAGAATAAATACGACCTCTGTCAATTAAACAATTTAAAATTTGAAAAATACACTAAAAAAAGGATACAAAGACTGTCTGGTTCACCTGGAAACACTTTCTCTGGCACATCCATGTAGCCTCAGTGGAGCATGGGTTCAGTCTCACACATCAGCTTTGACAATGAGAAAAGTCCTGTGCTGAAGAATACTTGGCAAACATACAGTTTTGGTGGAAAAAGCATTTGAGATGCTCTCAAGTGTCCAAGAGCAGACTATGTACCCTGCTTCAGTCATCCCAGCCCAAACCCTTCTCATTCTGATAGACACAGATGCTCGTAGCTTGTCCAGGCTTCCCAGGTGTCTTGGCTGCTGGCATTGTGGCTGGGGTCTCCTTTGGCTGTTCTTTGCTGCTGAAAGTATTGTCAATCAGTTGAGGGTTCCTCTGCTCAATTCAGATAGAAATAATGAATCAGCCAAGTGCAGCTCTGCTGGTACTCTTGAAGTCACCAGATGACTACAGTTGACACAGGCAGCTGTCACCTTCTGATGCCAGCTTGTGCTGGACACTCTGGTCTTTGTTAGCAGTTGTTCATGGTTGGCTGCTGTTCTCTGGAGCTCTTCAGTGTTAACAGCCCTGATTATTTATTTTGTCCCCACTACTACTGAGTAGATTTATAGGACTTCTGCTGCCCACACTACCTGAGAAATAAATCATGTGCAGGTCTACAGGAACACCAAAGCGAGTCTTATTTTAACAGGGCCTGTGATGCAGCACTGGGGAGGGGTGCTAGCGTACAAACAGCCTCCTAGACTAAAACCCAAGGAAAGTGCTACTTATGCAGCAGCTTATAGACCTGTTTCAGTGGGGGTGAGGGCTGAAGCCAGGGAATCTTTTGGAAGGCTTGCTGCCAATGCTCGTTACACAAATAAGGGGCTCAGATTCCTCCTTTCCTGATCTTAGCAACTCTCAGATGCCCTTTCTGTTTTTAAATATGCATCAGTATTAACTGAAGTGGCTTGGATGGGACAGGGGCTCCACACAGCCTGGCTGCACTCCTGCTGGAGTGGAAAATGCGTTTGACAGCCAGGGAGGACACCAAACTGTCCCAGTCCGTAGTCCACTGGGGTGTGAGAAAAAGCAAAGAGGAGCAAAGGGGAGAGGCAGACCGCTACTGGCTAATCCACATCCCCCTCCACTTGGCAGGGGGAAGTGAGAGTGTCGGGCACTTCTGATAGCTCAGAAGGTTTCCTCCCTCCCTCCCCTCTTGCATCACTTCTGCACTCTGATATGTTGGTTGAAGGGAACAAGGGTGAATATCTCCCAAACATCTGCTTATATTTCATGAATGTACACCCAAATAGATCGGCAAGAAACAGCATCACTCTTGACCTAAGCTGTGAGGGCCTGTACCTCCCGCTCCAGGACTATGCTTGGCTGGTGAAGGGCTGGTAGGATACTGAGCTAAGATCTGGTCTACAAGAGATGATGGGGGAGACCTCTGTGTTCTGCATCCTTCTCCTTCTTCCCCAGAAGGGACAGTGCTAGGGAGAGTCACAGAAGAGAGAAACCTCCTAGAGACGGTTAGAGATAGAAAGAAGGGAAGTGAGAGGCCTTCTGAGAGACAAAGAGGGGAGGAAGCGGCTTTTACTTTTGAGATGGACATGGGAGGGAGACAAGGATGAGCGCAAGCTGCTTATTTGGGGGAGAATATGAAAGAGGGAAGAAAATTGATAAAAACTCTTACCAAGCAGGTGACATTGAGAGCAAATGGCACTCGATCTCATTGCAGAATCTGAGAGATGCAATGTGCATAGCAGGTACCCCACCTGAAGGGGGAGCTGTTGAGGAGACTGCTTTTTCATGACCCCCCCCCCATCAACTCTGGAAGTGTCAACTTCCTGGCTTTTTTGCCTTATTACAAGGAGTAGGTGGCTATACAATCATATTATATGCATGGACAAGTATGCCAAGTGAAACTTGCAATTCTATACAACTAATGTGTACTAGTAAATTTTTTTTTAGAAAAGGAAGAAGGAGCAAGAGATGATAGAGGGAGGGAAAAGAGAGATGATTCTACAGAGAGACAGGGAAGAGGGGAAAGATGTGGAAAGTACCAGCAAGAACATGTACTGAACATATCTTGATTCTTTTTATTCCTTTCCCCTCCCTCTTCACATCTCTCCCTGTCTCTAGATTCTCTTTCCTCATAGTATTTAGTTTATGTTTGTGACATGTGAGACAACACTCACTGAGGATCACTGGGACATGTACATAATGTATCTTAAATCTTTTACACCTCTTTTCACCCCCACCACATCCTGCTCACATCTTGCTATCTGCCCACCTGCTCTTCTTCCAACCTACCTGCACTGATTGTGTGTACTCACACTTTCTCTACCCTCTCCCTTTCCCCACACTCCTTCTTTCCATGGCACCCGTCCTGTCCTTATTAATTCAGTTTCTACTTCCAGACTGACCCTCCACTTTCTCTCCATTTCTTCTTCTTCCTCCTTCCCCTCCATGTGGATCATTCAGTTAACTTTGAATTCTGAAGTTAAAGTTTGCCCTCTTGTTTCTCCCTCCCACTAGTAGGCAGGGCAATGCTCTTACGATTTAGACAGGGCAGACTGGAGCATTCAGTGGCAGTGAGGGAGAATCAGTGCTCCAGAAGCCACTGCACAATGAGCGACTCTGCACTCAGCCTCTTCAGATTCCCGGGCAGCGTCTCTGGGCTCCTCCACGTGGCCTCCCTGCTCGGCCTGCTTCTGCTGCTGTTCAAGGCAGCCCAGTTCTACCTGCACAGACAATGGCTGCTCAGAGCTCTCCAGCAGTTCCCGTGTCCACCCTCACACTGGCTCTTCGGGCACAAGGTAAGAAGCAGCAGGAAGGGGGACAGCAGGGAAGCTAGGGCTCCCAGAACCTGGCCGGCAATCTGCAGGACAGAGCTACCATGCAGCAAGCATGTGGTCCTCAGGGAATACCCAGCTTCTCTCTCAGCCTGGGCTCATCTCAGCCTCCCAGAGTTCACTCCTTCACAAGAAGCTGGTCGAGCTGTGACCAGTTCTACCACTCGCTCCTTCCTTATGCAGCTCTGTCACCCGACCTAGCGGCCCAGCACTGGAGGGGCTGTGGTGGCCCTTCCTGAGTTTCATCTCTTCCAAGCTGAGCACCTCTAGCTCCCTCAGCTGTTTTCAGCAAACCAGACCTTGTTTATTTTCTATTTTGAGACAGGGCCTTACTTAGTCTCTGTATTGCCCAGGCTGGACTCAAACTTGCACGTCCTGCCTTAGGATTCCAGAGCACTGGAACCAGCCTGGCTTCTAAGTACCTCTGGCTCAGGTTTCTACCCTGCTCCGGTGACTTGATGCCAACCTCTGTGGCTGGGCCTGAGCTTGTCTGGGGATGCAGATATCAGTGTGATGGCATCCCTGCCCTGTGGGGCTCATGATAAACATGAATCTCACGATGCATCAGGCCACAGGCAAACTTTAACAGGGAGGGTATATGACATCAGGTGCAGGGAAAAACTAGCTAGATTTGCCCAAGACTGAGGGGATCTCCAACATGGGTCATACTGGAGGTTACTATACTGAAAGTCATGAGCACATGGACTGCCCAGCACAATTCCTGCTGATGAAGGGAGCTGACATTAGAGCCACTCATTAAACAGTCTGTTTAGCCACCAGCTCAGCCTCCACTCTCCCTATGCTGTGAACGCACTGGAGCTGGAACAGGTCTGTGGAGTCCCCCAGGAAAGAGAGAAACAGCCTAGGCGAGACATTAATGACTGCGAGCAGTGCCACCGCTTGGCTAGATATGGGACTGCAGGGAGAGGAGCTCCGTAAGGGATTGTGTGGTGATTACACTTAAGGAGAGATAAAGGATATGGAGCTCAGATGGGGTCTCTGATGCCTATCGCTTCTCTCATGCACACAGCTTCCTCTAGTAGGGCACAGAATCTGTCTTAGGGAAAGTCCTGGGAGACAGTAAAGTCTGGATGACAGCCTAGACAGGTTATGCAACCAGCTCCAAATTTCTAACTTTTTCTATATGATCCGCAACTACGTCCCTGTGATAGTCCTACCCTTCTCTTCAATGCAAGGACTACAACCAAACAAAAGTACTTACTGAAGTGTCTTTCCCTTGGTGACAGGTCCAGCCAGATCAGGACCTGCAGCAGCTGCTGAAATGGGTAGAGGAATTCCCAAGCGCCTTTCCTCGCTGGTTCTGGGGGAGTAAAGCTCACCTGGTGATCTACGACCCTGACTACATGAAAGTGATTCTGGGGAGATCAGGTGAGAGTTCACTCTCATTCCAGCTTCACCTGGAATGAGGCTTCACCTCATTCCAGCAAGAGAACTCCTTGCTCCTTAGCATATACCCTGACTCATCAAATTCCAGACCAGAGTGACACTTCAGCCATCAACCCTAAACACTACCCACCATTCACCCAGGCCACAGCTCAACACATGGCCAACAATTTCTACTTACAGTACTGAAGTTTTCTTCTTACTTACTTACTTATAGTACTGAAGTTTTAAAACAACTATGTGGGGCCAATTTTCTTTTTTTTTTTTTTTAACCTTTCTTTCTTTTTTAAATCAAATGAAGGAGTTCTGTTGAATAAATTGAACTAAATCTGAAAAAAAAAATTTGTATCTACATCAACTTGGGTCTGAAACCTTCAGTTGTCACCTGTGGTATGTCATGAGATGACTGAGCCAGTATCCATGCTAGAAAACCAATAAGCTCTGTTTTATTTTTTGGCCTTGAGGTTGTAGCCACTGTTTCTCCCAAGTTCCTCATCACAGTCCTGGGAGTATTCGGCTTTTAGTGCAGGGAGCCTACCTTCCTGAGACAGACTGACGGTCAGGACAGATTTAGAAGGGTTGGGAAGCAAGGGGAGGTGACATGGCACAAATTGCCACCTGACAGTCATCGAGAATCCTGACGTCACACAGTTTGAACAACAGTTTCCTCAGGACCACATTATTTGGTCCTTCGTTTCCTTTTAAGTCTTTGCTTATCTTTCAGACCCAAAGGCCAATTCTTCCTACAGACTCCTGGCACCCTGGATTGGTATGTATATCTAAATTAGGAGTACAGTTATTGCCCAATTAAGTTTCCTGTGTGCCACTTCTCTGGCTTACAGAGAACTACAGGTACCCAGCCACCGCTGTCATGAACCATTCCTAAATCAACCCTCACCTTTCTTCTTCTCATCAGACACTTATCCCTTCCTAACGCTGAAATGAGCCCTCCTGAAGATCAGCTTCTGGCATACGTCTTCAAACGTTCCTACCTGCCATTTATTCATGCCCCTCCTTGACCTAACCCCAACACTTATTTTAACCTTTATCTATGAGTTTTCATAATCACAGCAGATGGACCAGCTCCAGTGGAAAATCCACATTCCTGGAGTGTCCTTCCTGCCTTTGTCCAAGAAATTCCACCTTCATGCAGGTTGTCTTCCCCAGTTCCACATCACAGTTCCACAGACACTTTCCTCCCAAATTATCCCAGGAATCTGATTCTCTCCCTCTCTCTGTCTCTCTCTGTGTCTGTCTCTGTCTCTGTCTCTGTCTCTGTCTCTCTCTCTCTGTCTCTCTCTCTCTCACACACACACACACACACACACACACACACACAGAGTTCACGCATCTATCTCTGGCCCAGGGTATGGTTTGCTCCTGCTGAATGGCCAGACGTGGTTCCAGCACCGGCGAATGTTGACCCCAGCCTTCCACTATGACATCCTGAAGCCCTATGTGGAAATCACAGCCGACTGTGTTCGAGTGATGCTGGTAAGTCTGTCTCTCACCAATGTACACACACTCACACCATGCACTCAGATGCTGGTCTCAAACACATGTGTCCTCAGACAGTCGTATGGAATAACACTCTTCAGTTATCCCTGTGACAGTAAATAAGACAGAGAGAGCCCAAGCATCAGGGTCAAGCCACACTGTGCTCATCGTCCGTGGCAGAGTGTCACGGTGGATACAGGGCCCACCTTCCACTTCCAGGTCTTCAGGAGGAGGAGCCAGTCCTGCCAAACAGCAGGACTACTTGCCCCTGGCTGCCCTGGATTACAACAGTAGCTCCAGTGGCCCAGTGAACCTCACAGAATATTACTTAATTTCTTGGAGTACACGGTTTCTGAGTAGCTTTTGAGTAACACGTTCAGTGAAATGGGGCCAACTCACAGCCAACCTGCCATCCCATCATGTCTCAACAAGATTTTGATTCTGACCCAGCTGTTCTCAGCAAGCTTTTTAATGAGTAAACAAGAGTCAAAGCCCCTGATGGCCCCCATTAGAAGTGCCCAGAGTGGAAACTTAGGTTTTCTTTTGCTTTGACACATTTGTCTCCTAAAATTGGAGTCCTACTAGTCCCTCAGGTCAAGCTCGACTCTCAGAACACTGAAGAATCTTCTTCCCCTTTATCCCCTGAAAATATATTTTGCTGGTCAAAAAGAAAAGAAAAGAAAAACCTAGCTGGTTGCCAAAATTCCAAAGTTATTTCAGGTCTTGTAGAATGCTATGCTTAATATTTAAATAATTTGTGAGAATCTGGAAATATATGGGGGAAAAGCCTAGTGTATTTAACCCAGAAGTTCTAGAGAAAACAAGAAGGTGAATGTTACCCTCCCACCACAGGACAAATGGGAGAAGCTCATCAATCAAGACTCCCCTCTGGAGATCTTTCAACACATCTCCTTAATGACACTCGACTCAATCATGAAGTGTGCCTTCAGCTACCAGGGCAGTGTCCAGCTGGACGGGTCAGTGACAGCCTTTTGTTGAAAGGTCCTTATTCTTGCTATTGATGTGGACTCACCTGAGAGGCATGTGGGGCAGCTCACCTAGTGCATCCAACCATATTTGCTTTGCACAATCCCTACTACAAAGAAAGTTTCCTGTTCTAGCTCCAGACCAACTGTAATTCCAGTGTAGACCCAACCCAGCCCCAGCCACACATCCTTGATTCCTAGCATGCCTGGAAGCCCAGCTGCTCACACCATCTTCTAAAGGCCAGAGGGTCACAGGGCTGTGAGGTAGAAGTAACACGGGCCTCAGTGTTTCGAGGTAATCACCACTCTACCTCCAGGTCAGACCGCCTTTCAGTTCAATCTGTTCTGTGTCTTCTCCCTCAGGAATTCTCACTCGTACATCCAAGCCATTGGGGACCTGAACAACTTGTTTTTCGCCCGTGTAAGAAACGCCTTTCACCAGAATGACATCATCTACAGTTTGTCTTCAAATGGCCGAAGGTCCAAACATGCCAGCCAGCTTGCCCATGAGCACACAGGTTCTGTCTCCTCCTCCTATCCCCCTCCTTTACCAGACTTAGCCCAGTAGAACTGGCCGTCAACCCTTCAGGCGGAGCCAGGCCCTCCGGTGCCCCTGCAGAACCTGAGCCACACTCATGCTGGGACTTCCATAGTGCAAAGGAGCTGAGATGCAAAGGTGTCAGGTGATGTACAGGAACTATTTGTGAGCAGCACTGTAGAAGCACCCCATGAGCTGTGTTCCTGAGGGAAACTTGACCTGCATCAAATGGTGCTGACTTCCCACTCCTGACCCACTCACCACACTCACCCTGAGCTCCACAGCACTTCCACATTGGGTCAGGGGGGCACACTTACACAAGGGGTCGCTGTAGGTTTCTGTAGCTCTGGGCTTTACTGGTAAATTTTGTTCTGGAATAGACCAAGTGATAAAGCAGAGGAAGGCTCAGCTGCAAAATGAAGAAGAGCTGGATAAGGTCAGAAAAAAGAGGCACCTGGATTTCCTGGACATCCTCCTGTTTTCCAAAGTGAGTGTGTGTGAGAGAGGCCTAAGGCTTTGATCAAAATCACAGAGCAGGGACCAACCCTCTTGGGGTGCTTGTGTCCCACCTCAGACAGAGAATGGGAGCAGCTTATCTGATGAGGATCTGCGTGCGGAGGTGGACACCTTCATGTTTGAGGGCCATGATACCACAGCCAGTGGCATCGCCTGGACCTTCTATGCTCTTGCGATGCACCCCAAGCACCAACAGAGGTGCAGGGAGGAGGTCCAGAGCCTCCTGGGGAAGGGAGCCTCCGTCACTTGGTGAGTAAGAGATCAAGAGGTGGGAGAGCACGGCCTCTTTTGTAGGGGAGGCCTTACTCTTTCCAGACCCTTCCTGCCCTTAGGATGGCTTCATTTCAGGGAACACCTGGACCAGATGCCCTACACCACCATGTGCATCAAGGAGGCCCTGAGGATCTACCCACCCGTTCCCGTTGTTATCAGAGAGCTCACCAAGCCTGTCACCTTCCCTGATGGAAAATCTTTACCCAAAGGTATAATCTTCCCTGAATCACCTAAGCTCTGCTCAAGGATAAGGAAGATTTAGAAATCCACATGTACTTCAGCAGTTCTCAATCTGGTTGGGTCTTTATTGTCAATGAACGAATGAATGCTTCTTGCTCTCAAAGTACACTTTTCCCATGTAGGACATGAACCTAAATGACCTATAAAATGCCTTCTAATTCTGATATTCTATGTGCCTACCACCCTACACTTCTCTTGTTCTTCAGCTAAAATTCTTTCCTCTTTAAAATCCATGGTCTAACAGTGCTGCAGTTAATTACAGTTTGGTAGTAGTGACACTTAATCTATGGGATCTTCTTTACACACACACAAAAAGTTAGTCTTTAGATTTTAGCCCCTAAAATTATATTCCCTAAAATGTACAGAATGACAAGATAATCAGATAGGGGCTAAGGAGATGCAGTTCTCGCCTTGAGGCAAGACAAATGATCAGGGAATTCTATGTCCTGGGTCAGACGTGGTCCAGTCACTGAGAAGCCCCCAGGCTGAAAGCAGAAAGCATTGATAGCCAGATCTAAGCACCCTGCTTTAGTCGCAAAAGACCTGCTGGCTCACATCCCCACCGGGCGTGCATCCCAGCCCTGCCACATCCTACCTGTGCAATCACTGACAATTCCTCTCTGAGATTGAGTTTCCTCATCTGAAAAATGGGGATATAACAATGCTTTTCTTGGAGAGTTGTTGTGAGGAATAAATGAATTAATAAATGCTCCTCAGTGGAAATCCTTTATCAACATAAGTTCTCATTTGATCTATTCCAAAAAGTAACATCCAGCTCTTTCTTGCTTCTCTCTCAGAGTCAGAGTTTTCCGCTCCTCACCTGCGTAGTTTATTTACCAGGTCCACCCATATCTTTTTCAACAGGATCACCTTGCTCAAAATGATGATTTCTGGCGTGCAGACCTTTTGTGCATGTCTGTCTCCTGCTGGTTGAGGGACCCGGAACTTACACCACGTACATAATCAGTCTTTGCTCTGTCTCCTCCTACCCTCCAGGTATCCCGATCACACTGTCTTTTTATGCCCTTCACCACAACGCAAAGGTGTGGCCAAATCCTGAGGTATGAGGTCTCTGAGAGTAGGGAAGGGGGTGATTTCGCAGGGCCAACACCTCCTCCTATCTTCCCTCTAGGCTTCCTGTCCCCTTGTGGTTTGGAAGCAGGGACTTGACCCTTACCTGTCCTGGCCCTGGTTCTCTCTCTGCAGGTGTTTGACCCTTCCCGGTTTGCACCTGATTCTGCCCGACACAGCCACTCATTCCTGCCCTTCTCAGGAGGATCAAGGTGAGTGTCCCGTGTGGGTAACTGGGTAGTGGGAGATGAAGGTGATCTGCTGTAGCATACTCTGCTCTTTGTGACCTCCTACGCTCACATACGACATCTTCAGATACACCCTTCCTTGTTGGTGTTGTGGAGGAGAAGCCTTGTGAGGATGTATCTGTGTACAAAAGAAAGGGAACATTTTGGAGCATACCACAGAAACTCTGGCCCAATTCCCTTCCCAGGGGCCAGCTAAATCTCAGTGTCGGTCGATGTGATGCTCTGCAGGGTGTCCCAATGCTTTCCTCAATTTAGAAGTATGACGTTAGGGATCAGAAGTTCTTGTGTGAGTTCACTTCAGATGACGTGCTTTCTGATTGCCGAGAATCTCAAAGGGCAGCTTCTCCTCACACATTCACAATGCAGCCACCACCCTTTCCATTTATTCACTTTTCCTCAAATCACTGCAGCACGTGATTAGCTTGCCTGGATTTATTTTCTGGGCGCCTGCTATCTGCCAGCTCTCCAGCCAGATTTTGAAAGTTTGCAGTCAACCCTCAGAGGAAGTTTTACAGCACATTTTAAGTCTCTCCCAACACAATTTTTGTTCATATTCTTCTTACAACTTTCCAAGTCATCAAAATGGGACAGGTGAAGTGCAGTGTAAATACCTTGAAATTACACTTAGATCCAATATAGTCCATCTTCGGATTTTTTCTCGTCTTTTTGAGACAGGGTCTCACTATGCAGTTCAGGCTGGCCTTGAGCTCACTTTGTAGCCCAGGTTGGCCTTGAGCTTGCAACAATCCTCCTGCCTCAGCCTCTCGAGTGCTAGGATTACAGGCATGCGCCACCACGCTCGGCCTTATTTTTAAAAAGTGATAAAATGGGAACAGTAAACTGCCTGTGAGAGAAAACCACTATTTTGTATATACCACATAGCATTTGACAGATTCCTGGTGTGTAAAATGTAAAACACAATTGAAGTAGCTGCTGAGCCAGACAAGCACACTCCGAAAGGGCTGTCGTGACCCTCAAAGGCTGCAGGAATTGCCCAGTAGGATGTAACTTACTCTAATTTGTATAAAGTAGTAGAAACAGGCTTTTCTCAGTCAGTGTTTCTATGAATTCTTCAAATGGTAACACAGCTGTCGTAGAACAGGCTTTAAGGAATTTGACTTACTGGGATTTGGTTTTTATGCTAAGACGGAGTACTTCCTCCTACATTGGCTGCAAATCTTATTACCACTAGGGGGCAGGAGAGTACCAGATAGCTCAATTTTTAGGTAAATTTCTCACATAATTTTAAACTCAACTAAATTGAATTTGTAAAATCTAGTGAAGTTAATTAACTTAATTCAAACATAAAAAAGGATCTAGGCCACCACCTGTGTGCCAAATCCTATACTAACTTATAAGAACACAGATGAAAGATACCATTCCTCCCTTTAAGTCAAGGTCAAAAATGTGTTCTACAGAAATACCCATGCTTAAGGCACACACCATTCCTTCCTCCAGTCTTTCACTCTTAGTGGGATGTTCCACATTCCTGGCACTGTCTCGGTCTCTGGATTGTGATATGTCCTTGAATAAAGCGCCAATGGTCCCCCTGGGGGCCCAGAAGAATAGGGACAGTGAAGCAGGGATGAGGACCAGGTGGTCATTTGCCTGGGCCTTTAGCAGGTAGAGGCAGAGGTGGGGGGAGAACACATTCATGAGCTGAGCTAGAACATGGGCCACATAGGTAAGAGGGGGGAGACACGGCAGCCACAGAGGATGTGGATGCGGCTGAGGTATTTGAACACAGTCCTGCCTAATGGAGGACATGGAAGGATCATTGTGGAAGGAGGGGAGGCGGGATACCAGAGAAGTCCAGGACAGATACACTGAAGAAGGCACATAGGGACCTTTTTGGAATGGAATTAGGATACAGATGTCGGTGGCCTGCAGTGGGAGAAGGAGGCAGGAGCCTGACCACTGAGTGGGAGGCAGATGGGGCTGCCCAAACTGATGCTCTCTAAAAGAGGTTCCTCATTAACATTTGTCTCCTCCCTGAGGAGCTTTCTTGGATCCCCTAAATGGAAAGAACTAACCAATAATTAACTCTTTAAATGACTCAAGGGATCAGACTATTCCTCTGGCCCTGTCCTAGGACAGAGAGATTCCATGCCAGTGAGAGCAGAAGTGGGCCAGGGGTAGCCGTGCACAACCAGAGGGCTTTATCAAAGGTCAGGAGAAAGTAAACCAAGACCCGGGGCTGAGCTTTGCATGAGTGTAAGGAAAGGGGTCAAACCAGGCATATGAAAATCCTGAATGCCCAGCTCCGGGCTGGGACTCAGGCACCAGTGCCTGACCAGCTCGGAGCAGGGCCTGAGGCCATATCTCATCTCACTGTCCCTGTCTGGCCCAGGAACTGCATTGGGAAACAGTTTGCCATGAATGAGCTGAAGTTGGCTGTGGCCCTGACCCTGCTCCGCTTTGAGCTGCGGCCAGACCCCACCAGGGTCCCCTTCCCTATACCACGACTTGTGTTGAAATCCAAGAATGGGATCCACCTGCATCTCAGGAAGCTGCACTAACCCTGGTGAGACAACAGCAGGCTCTGAGGGTCTCTGGTCTACCATCCTGTCTTCCTGTCACCTGCTCTTGTCCCCAGCCTGTCTGCTCATCTCCTGCTTTCTATTTGCTCACATTCCTGCTGTCCCGTCCCCTTTCTGTGTGCCTTTCCACTCTAGAGATGCATTCCTTGCATTCCTTGGAACCAGCTTCTTCTACTTTCTTTAAAGGGTAATTTATCCATCTCACAGTCCTTTACTTTCAACCGTCAGAGTTCTGTTTGACATATGCGGTAACATAATCATGAGCTTCAAAGTTGAGGTCTTGGACATCCTTGGGAAGACATTATTCAGCCTGCTACTGTCCCTCCCCATCTGTCCTTGACTTCTCCATCAAAATCTCTCCTACATGGCCTCTACCTACCTGTGTGTCTCTCAATCGAGCTCTCCATTTCCCTCCTCCTTTCAAAAAAGTTCCTAATGTCACATGGAGGATCTTGGTCTCTTAGAAGGATATAGTGAGGATAAAAGAGACAGAGGGAGAGGAGATAAGTCCCTTCTGAGGAAGGAGGACATGACATGTGACCTGTGGTGCCAGGACTTCTGGCTGGCCTTATGAAGAACACCCTCTTTGAGTGGCCTCACACATGTGACCCCTTGTGCCCCACACCAGCCCAGCTGCAGCTGCTGAGGCTCCAGTAGCTGAGTTTAGACAAAGGGCTTTTCCCCGGGACCTCTGACAGAGAAGCTCACATCTGTCAAAGAAAGAGACAAAAACCTCCATTATATTCAAGGACTAACATTTGTTGCACTCGATTTTTCAGAGGAGGTTCCAGCTATAGCCCATCTTGAGCTGGGCGGGAAAGCCTTCTATCTGATCTGGCATGAGGGGCTCAGGACCTTGCTCTTCACAGATACAATGAGTTGTGAGAAGAGGGCCCAGCCTGGCCATGTCACCAAGTTACCTGTCAGCCTGCTTCACATATAGGACCTCAAAGCTCCTCAGGAGGCTTGGGGAGTGGACAGCGTCTGCCAAGAGCTGGGAAGAGCCTCAGCCGGTGGGAGAGGATGCCAGAACCCAAGCAGCAACTCTGGCACAGTAGAGCCTGTGGCGGTCTCCCTGGCTGGCTACCCAGAAGGATGAGGGGCAACCCTGCCCACACTTGGTGACTGCCTGGTTGCTGTAATTCTGACTCTGGCCCTGCTCCCTGCTCACAGCCCTTTCTGTACTGCCACCAGAGTCCCTGGGCTGCTGTTCTTGCTTCTGTTTTGTTTTGTTTTTCTCCGGTATCAGGAACCAAACTCATGACCTTGCGCTCGCCAGGCAGGCGCTTTTGCCGCTGAGCTAAATCCCCAGCCCCTGTTCTTGCTTCTGTTAGCCTCCATTAAACGAGACTCTGCTTGTTCGCTGGTCTGAGCACAGGCTTCCCTATTGACACAAACCATTCTGAGATGCTATAGACAGAACTTCCTGGAGTGGTCTGACGTCCCCAGTGTGTTATGGTCTATATCTTCTCTCCAAGTTGGAACCTGCAGCCAAGACCTCCGGCCCACCCTCCTGGCCTCCTAAGTCACTGGGCTCATTTGGCGTTGCTCTGAAAAGGAGCAGGAGAGGGCAGGCTGGACTTGGTCAAGGGGAAGGGGAGAGTTGGGTAATAGAGTTAGCTGGGGACATCACAAACAGGATGTCCAGCAGGGGCCCCAGCATCAGGTGGTGCAAGAGGTGGTGCTGGCTATGCTCAGAGAGCACAGGACAACAGGAACTCAGAATCCTGGGTGGCCAGCCATGCACGTGTGCTGTAACTACAGGGCTCCGCAGGGTGTGAAAGTGTGACTGAGAACTGACCTTGCTGCCTCCAAGCAACGGGCAAGACCCAGGGTGAACCCCACCCACATGCACATCCCCCACAGACACGTGAAGAGAGACATGTAAGCCTCTCCTGCATACACCCTTTGCACACTCCACACTGCCCACACGCACATGCACACACACTCCCAGGGTCACGGGAGGCAGCAGGCTGTGTCTCCGGCGAAGATCTAGAGGAGCTGAGGAGAAGTCACCTGTGGTGCCCGCCCCTCACAGCCCCCATCCTCCCTCCTCCAGGAAGCCTCTCTCCCCTCTGGCGCCAGAGCTCTCAGCTCTATTTCCCAGCAGCACACACCCTCAGGAGACTGTCGTACTAACTGTGGAGGAGAGTCAGGAGGCCTCAGTTCAAGCTCTTCCAGATGAGTGTCTCAGGGCTCCTTCCATTAGTATCGAAATGGGATCATAGCTTCCTCCCATCAGGGGGCATCGACCCTGCCCACACTTGGTGACTGCATGGGTGCTGAAGGTCCAAAGAGATATAGGAAATGGGTACAGTTGTGCTCAGGGGCCACCCCAGGGCACAGGGTGGTTATGACCTCAAGGCTTAGCTCCTACCCAGGGGCACAAAGTGGTGATGGTTGCAATCTAATCTTCACTTGTACAGAGAGCAGTCTATTGAGGTGCTGGAACAGAGCAGGCCGTTGATAGCATGGGGTACAGAAGAGACAGCCAAGAGGCGCACCCTGGCTGGGTCCTCTGAATCAGTTGGGTAAGGAGGTTTAGATCTTCCGCCGGTGGCCTATGGCAGGTCAGCCAGGGATGCGGCCTTCTGAGAGTGAAACAGTCAATAGCATGAAGGATTTCTCTGCCACGGTGTGCCCTCAAAGCATCACAGGGGCATCGCCCAGTTCCAAAGCTGGAGTTCCTCTCTCCTGCCCCCAGTCTCAAGTCCTCTTCCTTCTGTAACTACCTAACTCCTGGCCTGGAGGCTCCTAGTGGCCGTACACCTTGAGCCCTAGAAGTGCGTGTGCCCACAACCATCACGTAGTTGCTGCAGGAGCTGCCAGTGAAAGACCTCTAAATCATCATGCGACCCCATGCTTAAGGCTCTCCCCAAAAGTTCTTCTTTGTACCTTCATACCTCATCCATGATTCAACACCTGAATCTAGGGGAGCTTTCTTTCTCCCAGGAAGTCCCCCCAGTGCCACTCTGCCACCTCCCCTGGCCTAACTATGAATTCCCAGAGCACCGTATGACTGAGAACCTAATGCTGAAAGTGTCACAGAGACCCATCCCAAGAGGGGCGGAAGACACAGCAGCAAAACCTCCTGCATATTCTTTGACTTTGGTAATGGGAATTTGCTTTAGAATTACTCATTATTTTGTACAGTTTTGATTTAGGTCATTTTTCCTCATTTTAATTATATTACACACACACACACACACAGCTACACATAAAACACCTCTCCATGAGGGGCATCCCCTGAGCCATCCCACAACCCCACGCTACCGGGTCATAACCATGAATCCCTCGGCCAAGCTTCCCCTGTGTTCACCATGTCATAAGGCTGGAATGTGCATTTCTCCTGCATTTTAGAAAGACTGATCATTATAGGAGATAAATGAAGTGTCTTGAGATGATTAGGTGCTCACCAAGTAAGTGAATGGATGAGATCTTGAACATATGGGTACCAAGAATTTGTAGACACTCATGTTTGAGTGGCACTGTCTCCCGGGAGGTTGTCTGTGCCAGTGCCTACTCCCCTCCCAGACAATAAGCCTCCTGAAGCCACAGCTACTCCACATTCATCTGGGAAGCCAGTGCCCAGGGAGAAGGAGCAGCCTGGGCTGGCTGGGGCCTTACTGTCTGCAGAGCTACTTCCCGGACCCGGAGCCCAGTAACTTCAGGTGGAGGTGGATCCCATTCTTTGAGCTCAGAACCAACTGGGGCATCTTGATGGGTGGCTGCAAGGGATCCAGGGAGAACTCAAAGCGCAGCAAACAGAGAGCCGTGACCACCTTTATCTCATTCATGGCAAACTGCTGCCCGATGCAGTTCCTGCAGGGAGCAGTACAGAGAGGTGGCGGCTGTGAGGTGTCCAGAGTGATGAGCTTCAGGGCTCTTATGCTAACAAAAATCAATAATTACTTTTGGATGCATAACTGGCTGATAGATTGATTGACCTGGGCTTAAGAAAGAGATCTTGGGGCTCAGTGAGGGCCTGGACTGAGTAGCTGCATGATGAGGATTCTGGCTTTGGGTCTCTCCTGAAATGACTACTGTCCACCCGCTTCCCAGGGACGGGAATACAGTAGCAAGGAGAATATCCCTGAAGTTTTCCAGGCATTTAGGAAAACTACAAACCCAACACGGTCCCCTCATCACAGAACACCCCATAATAATATCTCCCTCATGACGTCTCCTCCCACCTTCTTCCTCAGTCCTGGGGCCCTGGGGGTTCTGGGCTTCTCCCTACCTGGGCCCAGCAGAGAAGGGCAGGAAGGCAAAGGGATGGCGTCCAGACACATTCTCAGGAGAAAAACGCTGGGGATCGAAGACCTAAGGAGACAGGCTTTGTTTAAACACCCAAGTCCTGGCATGTGGGAGTCCCCATAGGCCCCACCCTGTCAGGTCTTGGCACGGAAATGAGGTACCTCGGGCTCAGGCCACACTTCACTGTTCCTATGGAGAGCATAGATGTGCAGAGAGACCAGGCTGCCTGTAGACAGAAGAGAGGCTTGGTGACCAAGTGGCTCTACAGCAGACAGTCTCGTCTCCATATAGGGCCTAAATGTCCTAGTGTCTCCCTCACTGGCGCACTAGCCCCTGCCTGATCATTGCCAGTGACCTCAAGCTCTTGACCATAATCAATTCCTCGAAGTATTTTGATCATCATCCTGTCCAGTTCCTGTAGCCCCAGCGCTGAGTGCAGCACCTGACACACACATCTATGTAGGAAAACAGAAAAGAAAGGGAAGGATGAATCCACCCTACCATAAAGTAGGACAGGCAGAAACTATGATAGCCTTTCTGCTGTCCGTTAAGTAACTCGCAGGACATTACCATTCATAACATTATGCTATCAATAGTAGTCACTACCATTTCATTGGGTGATTACTACATGTCAGATATAGTTCTAAACACTCTTTAGGAAGCCAACACATACAGTTTTGCATGTTTTAAGCAGCTCTGCACTAACTTCACATTATGTGAATCACACCCTGGAGTTATCCAAGGCACAACCTGAACGTGCCTGGTGCTACGGGGCAGCCTTGCTGAGGTGTGTCTCTTTCATCTTGACAACACCTTGAAAGGTAGATTCATCTCACCCCCATTCTATAGAAGAGGAAATGAAGATTTAGAGGCAGAGCAATGAACTCATGTGTTGTGGAGGTAGGATTTGAACCCAGGACTCTCTGAACACAAAGCCTAAGCTTATCCCCTTTGCAAAGTTTTAGCCAACATTGCAGGAGGTGCCAAAAGAGCATCTAGGGGACCCTGATTCCACCCCCGGCCCACCCCCTCCCACCTGCAGGTAGAGAGCGGCCATCCACAAAGGTGACGGGCTTGCTGAGCTGGCGGTACACCTGAGGCACAGGTGGGTAAAGGCGGAAGCTCTCCTTGATGCACATAGTCAGGTAGGTCATCTTGCCCAGATCGTCCCTACCAGCAACACAGGACAGTAGGAACGGTGAGCGATGGGATCCTGGGGAAAGATGAGGCCCAGCCACAACTTCACACCTCACCATGCTGCCTTCCCACCGGCACCAGCATACATCCAGGAGTGAGAGGGGCCCAAGGGCTACAAGCGCTCAGGCCAGATTGGACAGAGGGTGGTCACTTAGACCCAGCGATCTGGCTTCACATCCCTGGGTCCCTTCCTCATCTTCGCTGCTGGGAGGAGAAGGCATAGACCCTAGGTGTACGTGCACCCAGCTATCAAATACAAGGTCACCTCTGTGTCTCTCAGTGCCACACGGAACCCCCCGTTAAGGACCATCGAAGTTTTGTTTAGCTTTCCCTGTGGCCATAGAATGGAAATGCATGTTGATTGAATGAACCGACCAATGTGTATGAATTGTGCAATAGATGAATAATGATAAACTTCTGTATTTTTTTGCTCTTTTTCCTTTGGCCACCAGGAAGCTCAGACCCAAAATTCCAAGTCATCTTCTCCTGGTTCTGATTTTTCATTTGTTGTACTATTTTATTAAATAAGTGTCCTCAAAGATGCTTCAAGCTCTAGACAGATGGAGAACAAATGTTTTAATTTCCCTCCTCATATTGTGTTTGAAATGTTCCTCAGCTTAGAATGCCTGGTTCTCTCTTTGCCTGAGTTTTCATCCTCCTTGGAAGTCAGTTCAAATCTTACCCTTTCCGATCCCTCTGCTCACAACATCCGGGACACTCAGTCTTCCTCCCTGCAGCGATTTTCTCTTGCTTTTCAGTTATGTGAGTTCGCCTCTCTAAAAACTCCCCAAGGGTTGAAATTAGGCTCCTCCTCCCTTCCCCCTTCACCCCAGATTGCACCTGGCACCAGGTTGGATACCCTCGGTTTCCAACACCTGACCACAAAAATGAGTAATGGAGACCCTGTCCTCTAAGTCTCAGAGTGTGGAATTATAGGTCGGTCCCTTTCGAGTGAATCTAAAACTCCACCATTGACAAGTATTTTCTGGACCCTCGCTATGGGTCTTGCACGAATGTTGGAGGGAGTGCAAAGGACCAGAAAGGAGGAGCCTGACCGGACGCGAAGACCTGAGAGGAGGAGGTGGCGGCAGTGGAGACGGCAGTGGAGACGGCGGTGGGAGTGTAGAGTTTCCCTGCCATCACACCGCAAAGAGAGGCTGGAATCATGTAAGGTCGTAGGATTTCAGCCTGGAGTCGAGAAACAGGAGGAATATCTGAAAGTTCTTACGTGCTGGAGTTTAGGCGTTTCCTTCACCCAAGGGATAGATGTGAGGTCTGGCGGCGGAGTGCTGCCACCCAAAGGCAGGTGGCCAGGGCTTGGCTCTCCCAACTCTCCTCTCCCTGTTCAGCCCCCATGTCTTCCCTTTTCTCTCCCAGCCCTTCTTACCCTAGTCAGGAACCCAGAAGGGTATTCATGTTCTCCATCAGAAGAATTCAGCTCAGAAAAGTCAGCCTCTTGCTAACTTTCTCTGTGTGACACTGAAAAGGCTCCACTGACAGGGGATGGGGTAAAGGACATACCCACGTTCAGCCCTCCAAAAAGCAGCAGCAGTGGAGAGAGCAGGACAACTGCTGCCCCCTCGCCTTAGTTCCGGGACAGCACTGCCTCTCCTTGGGCTGAGCGGGACAGGCCAGACACCTGCTCAACATCACTCACCACTGGAAGGAGTCCTGGTCCCCTAGGATCTCGCGGGCCTCCTCCCTGCAGCGCTGCTGGTGCTCCGGGTACAGGGCCATGCAGTAGAGAAACCAGGAGATACCGCTGGTGGTGGTGTCGTGACCTTCAAACATGAACGTGTCCACTTCAGCCCGGAGGTCTGCGTCAGACAGCCTGATGCCACTTTCATCCTGGATAAAGGCATACCAGCATGGCTCAAGGCTTTGAGTAGGTGCCAAGAAGAACTTGGAATAGTAGTTGTCAAAAGCAGGTCTGAAAAGAACAGCGAAAGCTGAACAGAGATGAAATGTAGAGGGCTCCATTAACGTCCCCAAATCATGCAGCTAGCAAAAGCCAGGCTGATCTAATCCAGGTCTGCCTCACTCTAAAGTCTTTCCTTAAGCATGTACTCAGCTGCTTCTGGTGTTTTCCACAAATTTCTGAAGACAAACTACGGTAGAGTAAAGCCTTCCCCAGGGTTAGATCTTTCTTCTAAGCCCACCCTGGATGTCTCCTTCTCCATGGTGCCCTCCCTGATCCCTCTGGCCAAATGACCTATGACCTTAGCCCCAACTGTCATCCCTGCTCCCTTGGCACACAGAATGCCACCTAGTGGAGGAAGATAGCTTGTCAACATCCACTAACATCCACCAGAGATAAGTCCCTTCCACTCGACTGTAAGGATCTGGAGGGCAAGGACCAGGTCTTTTCCATCCTAACACAGCAACTGACTCAGCGCAGAAGCTCAGTGGGTCTATGGAGTGGCAGAATAAAGAACTGAATGAAGGAATGATTAAATAAAATCGAAACTCTAAGATTCTATAATGTCAAGATTCTTGGGGATCTCAAAAGTCTAAAAATGACTTCAGGTCGCAGCCATGTGACTCAGACCCCCCAGCTCCTGTCACACTCACCCTGCACCTCTGTACCTTTAATGATCTGCGTCAAGGGACAAGAAGCAGGTGCATTTGCTGGGGAAAGGGAGGAGTACTCAACAGCCCCTTCTGCAGGGCAGCACACCCTATCCTAGCAAGATGCTCTGAGGACCCCTCTGGGAGCAGCCCTCGGGTGGGTGAAGTGGGTACTCACCCGAGCACCCAGAAGAATGTCCAGTAGGTCCAGATGTCTGCGGTGCTGGATCTTCTCCTGCTCCTTCTTGTCTTGCAGGGCTGCCTTCCGCTTCCTGATGACATGGTCTAGGCCAGGAGCACAGGTGTCACTACCTGGGAGCCATCCTCTCCCCGAAAGGGAGCTAAGAACCTGCAGTGGGCAGGATGCAGAGGGACCAGGAGGAAGAACCCAGGCCTCCTATCAATAGGCCCCACAGAAAGGTGCACCTGTATGGTCATGAGCCGCCCGGCAGGCCCGCAGGAAGCGGCGGCCATGAGGCGTAAGCCAGTAGATGAAGTCGTTGTGGTACTGGAAGGAGTTAATCCGCTGCTGCATCAGCAGTGTGAGATCATGCACTGTCTGGTAGTACCTGCTGTCCCTGCACAGCAGGGTAGAGAGGGGCAGTTCAGACGGTGATCCAGGGGCAGAGCCCTGTGCAGCTCTCTTTCAACCACAGCGCTTCCCCTCCCTCCCTTAAGATCGCTCACTAAAGCTAATATGTCCTCCCCACAACCAAGGCCTGGTAAGACCCTGCCTCCTGTCTGACCAGGGACCAGGAGCTCTGCCAGCTCTCCCCGCTGAGCTGATGTGGGGAGAAGGAGTATGGTCACCCCCAGGCACCCCCTGACCTGTGGCCCAGGCCGATGTCTCCTTTGCCAAAGGTGCACTTCATGAGTGAGTCCAGGGCCATGTGGCCCACATCGCAGAAGATGTCAAAGCTTTTATTCTCACGAGCTTTTTTTTCCCACTTGTCCTGGAGCCCAGAGATAGGAAGCAATGTGGACAGCCCACCCTGCCCTCCAGGACACATATCCTGTCCTCCACTAGCAAACCCGCCTCCACACCCACCCCCAGCCCCTGCCCTGCCCTGCATCCTGCAGGAATGTGGGTTTTGCCAGCCTCTGGGCATCAGACTCAGACAGCAGGACCAGGAGGTAGATCTCCCCCAACACAGACACTTCCTCCTAGTCAGGCAGCCTAGATAAACAAGCAGGAGGGCTAAGAGGTGATAAGCTCCCAGCACTCGTGTGTGTGTGTGTGTGTGTGTGTGTGTGTGTGTGTGTGTAAGTCAGGCCTCCAGCCATGCTGGACAGGAGCTTCCTGCAAGGGAAAAGACTAGCATGAGTAGCTCTGGGAATTCTCCAGCCCTCAGACTCTAAATCTGACTTGACACACCTCTTAGAAATGAGTTGTAGCTACACCGTGGTAGGCTACACTAGTAGTAGTGAAAAAGAACCACTTTTTAGATGTGAAGGGCTTTCCTGATGCTCTCAAATATAGATAGTCCTCACATCTGCAGTAGAGGGCACCTTACTGAGGCTTCCTGGAGTGCTTTGGTGTGGTGAGACAGAGGGCCAGGTCCCCTGGTAGAAACAAGATGAGGACTGCCCACACACTAGGAGCTCCAGCGCTAGCCAGCAGCCGCGTACAACAATGGGCTGCAGAGCAGCACTTTGGCACTGCTGTTACAGGAAGACTATGGACTCAGGGTGGCAGGGATCCTCCCCAGGCCATCTGCCCTCTCCCATGAGGGAGCAGAGGGCTGGCCCAGTAGCCCACAGCTCCAGGAGCCTGTCACAGGCAGCTCACCAGCATGATGTTTGTAGAGCTTGCAAACACAGCCACGTAGGGCTTTAGCACATCATAATGGAAGCCGGGTGTGAGAAGCTTGCGGTGCTGGAACCACTTGGTCCCGTCAAGAACGAGCAGGCCTTTCCCTGGGAAGGGATGGAAGCAAGAAGGATCATGAGTCCAGGCAGCCCTGCTCCACCCCCAGCAGCTGGGACCTCTCCTCCCTGAGCCTGGAGGCCTCCAGGGTTGGGCTGCCCACCACACTCAGTATTGCCCATGCACTTCCACCCCCAGGCCGCCAGAACCCCAGGCAGCCATTCTCTGCTGAGCAAGCTTCTTCTTCAGGGCAAGACGACTCCATTTTGCCTCGACTGCATCACAAAGCTTGGGCTCCAGGAACTAGCATTGGATGACACTGGACTCAGACAGAGGAGACACAGCTTCCTGGGACAGTCAGGCAGAAGGGAAGCCCGCTGGGCCTTGACTCTTAAGTTGCTGAGACTGTGACCACAGCTTCAGGACTTGAGGAATAATGTACCAAGTCGGGCCTTTGTGTCCTCAAGCAGTCTATCCTCCTTCTCCTTCCACACACACCCAGCCATGGAAATGCAGGCCTCTCTTCAAAACTGCCTCCAAATTTCCTAAGCCTTGTTGGTTTCTGTCTTTTCTATTATCCTCCCTTTGGTAGCTGAACACAGTAAGAGTCACTGAAGTCCACAAAAAGACCTCCCTGGTTTATTCCATGTGGAAGTAGCCTTGGGACTGTTTTCTTACTCTTTCCTTCACTTTCTTAGATATCAGGAAGCTGCTGAAGATTCTTGGGGAGTATGAGGAAAGGAAGGGCTTTGGAAAACCATCTGATCTTGGCTCAAGAATATTCAATGACTCCCGCTCATCTTAACATCAATCCACAGGCCTCATCCTGACAACCAGGGCAGCCATTCCCTGCCCAGCCTCGCCTCCCAGGGGAGGTCTGCCCTCCAGCCACCCAGACAGCTGCAGCCTCAGTCGCTGTCTCAGGCCCTTGCCCTAGACAGCACCACTTTCTGAAATCTCCTGTAGGATCAAGACTAGGGCCAACTCCTGTAGGAAGCATTCTTCACGTCCACACATTCTCCTGAGCCTTACCCTTGTCTGGAAAGAAGGGACGGTGGCAGCCCCAACAAGAAAGGTATAGTACCATGTTTCTCTTCCCCTGCCAGCCAGGGGCTTAGGGCCAACTGAGTGTGGCTGGGCAGGCCAGGACCTGGTCACCCTGTACTGAGGGTGGGAAGGGAAGGGAAGGGAAGGGCAGGGAAAGCAGGTGTTCACTCACCAATCCACTGGAGGAAGAAGTCGTACACATCTGCGGCCTTAGGGTCTGCAGAAGAAGAAGTGGGTCAAATAAGGGCTTTTCAGAGGTGGTTCGCTGATGAATGAGGTGGTGCCCTTGACCATCTCCTACCCACTTAGGACACAAGCCCAGGCGTCCTCCCCACATCATGTCCGAGCCCTTTGCCCTCAGGAAGCCCCACCCTCTCCCGGAGATATCTCACCGCCTCGGCTGTACACAGCTTTGGCATAGTCAGGCTCATAGATGTTCAGGAAGCCAACAAACGGTCCCATCCAGAGTGGGGAGGCATAAGGAAACTGCTTGGCCCAGGACACCACCTTGTCCAGGCTTCCCGTCTGCTGGATCTGAAATCAGAAAGTCAAGACCCTTCAGGAACCCAGAGTCCCCAGCCAGGCCCCAGGTCCCTGGCCAGGGAGAAGGAGGATGCTGCCAAGACAGGCTCCAGGGACTCCCTCGCTCCCTCTGCCTGCACCCGCTCTCCTAAACATCTCTGGCACAGTGACCTCTGCAGCCCCACATCTATTACTTATGTCCAGGGATCCCTGTCTGCCCCCGATCACTAGCCTCAGGAGCCTTCGGGATTAGGCTTTCTTTGGTCTCCAGCTGAGACAGCAAGGTAGGGCACGGCTAAAATTGGCTGAGAAAGGTCCCAGGACACATTTGTAGAACAGTTCCCAAAGCCCTGCTCGTGGACTTCTCATGAGAACTTCTCATGAGGACTTCAATCCAATGGCCCAGACCTGACATCAGCCTGAGGAGTGGATGATACAAAAAGGATGCTCCACACTGAGGTTTTGCCACTGTGTTCACTCTGGCATGGTGGCCACCCTCACACTGTAGGGTGCACTTCTTTTCTTCTTTGACTTGGCCCAAACTCACGCTGCAGAGCCTGTTTCTTCTCCTACCTTTAATAAAACTTTGCTACCATTTGTGCTTGTCTTAACCAATTCTTTGCTCAGGGAAGAAAGAACTTAGAACCACCTCCAGAAGGAGAGGCCAGCATCCAAAACCTGGTAGCACACCTACTAGTTGTGCCTTCTCTGGGGGATCCTCTTTCTCTGGACCCCTTGTACACTTTGGAACAATCTCCCCATAGACAGATTCATCCCTCCAAAATTCAACCCAAAGTGGTTGTAAGATTTTTCATCAGCCTGAGCCCACAATGTCAGAAAGAGCACACAGGAATAAAAATCATCTCCACTCACAGGTAAAGAGAAACTTCTGATGTCCCTGCCTCCTTTTTAGCTGATATCCCTGGCAATGTTCCCCTCCCTTATGTCTCTCCTATTTTTTCCATCTGTCTCCTGGATTTTCCTTACCAACTTTCTGATCACCATGCTCCCTCCCCTTCTCTCCCTGTGGAGCATAACATGCCATGGTAGACAATGGCTTAAATCCCAGAAAAGCCAGACTCTAGAATCTTGAAGTTGGAAAGAAGCTATGGCTCATCTCACTCGTCTGAGTCCCACTTCCCTCCTTACCGGCCATGCTGTGCCCTTCTGCAGCCTCCCTTCCAGGGAGACCCTGACTTCACATTAACCCTGACTTTGTACACTTGCAGGTTGCCGTAGGCAGGGCTTTGGGAACTGTTCTACAAATGTGTCCTGGGACCTTTCTAAGCCTTTCTTAGCCTCTTTCTCCTGTGCGTCCCATTTTCTTCTATGTGTTCCTGGCTGCCCCAGGGACCTAACGAGAGTGAGAATAGCTCCCAGCATTCATTGACCACTCTCCTGCAGCTGCAGTGCCTCCAAAAGGGTATAATATGGCTGTAGGTCAGCTTCTATGGGCTACATAACAGGATGCTTCAGACTTAGCCTCACGTGCTCTAGCTGGAACACTTACTAGGCGGTCTGGGCCAGCTTGTTTTTCTCCAGAAGGAAAGAAGCAGAAAAGATGCAGAGTATAAAGATAATTCACTGAACTTGGCTCTCCAGCCCCAAGCCCCGCCCTCTCACTAGCATTCCCTGTTGACTCTTCCAGGAATAAATAAGAGGGATTGAAAGAGAACACACAAGTCATTCCTCTCCTCTGCTCCCCAGGAGGCTAAAATTTTCTCCAAGAATCAAATCAGAAAAAGACATCAACATTGTCTGAACAAATCATGAGCTCTTTTTGTAAGTGGGAATAGTACAACCCAAGGACCAAAGGGAACTATCCCACATGAGTCAGAGGTCCTGACTGAGGTTCTTCTAGCTGGCCAGCTGACCTGAAGCTCAGTTGGCCAGTGTCCAAGGAACAAGCTGCTCATAGCTGCTTGAGAACAAAAACAAACTTGCTTGCAAAATGGGGGTAGGCATTTAGCAAAACAAATGCTTGCAGAGGGGTGAGGACAGGGATTTTCCTCTTCCTCAACACACTGAAGCCCCTGGAGGAGAATCATATCGCTCTCAGATTCCTGATACCAGTTATTGTCTGGCCCAGTACTGCTACTATATGAAAATCACAACCTCCCAAGTTCAGACAACTTGAACAACAGGAAATGTATTGCTTTTCAAAACAGCCACTTTGAGCTCTCCAAATTGTTAACAAGATTTCTCAGTCACTGGACTGAAAGCCACCTCCCTGGAGCCTTCCCCATGATCTTCTGAGGTCACTCAGGCTCCCACTGTCCAGGGAAGTCCTACAGAGACCTGCCTGGACCTGCTCTGCTCCAAGATGGACATCCTGAGTGCCTTAGTCCCGATTTTCTTCCCGCTGAGGGTGCTCCTTCCACACACCAAGATCACCAGGGTTCAGCACATGCTTGAGCTCAAGTCCATGTCAAGATTTTAAATAAAACTAAAGAACTAATGCACCTGCCAAGAAAAATCAACCAAAAGCCAAAAAAGGCAACATTTCTGAAATAACCATTGAGATTCAATTTGCACAAAGACATCAGTAATTCAGCTATAGGGTAGAGCAGAGACAGAACAGAGGAGTTCTAAGGTATAATGCCTCAAGAACGAGAAAAGTGGCTGTAGCCCATTCTGGTGACAAACAGGTGACTTCATCCTCCATTCCCCCTTTCACAGACAAATGTACATATGAATATATGTGAATACACAAGTTGCAGAAAGAACCTCCAGCTCATTAGGAGCAAAAGGACTTTGAGTGAGATCAGTTTGGGCCACTGTGACTCCCCCTGCCACAGTATTTCAGCTAAGAAGTGATGAAGGGTGTCTTAGTTACCTTTCTTATTGCTGAGACAAAATACCTGACAACCTAAGTTAAAGGAGGAAAAGTTTATTTAGCTCCCAGTTTGTAGAGGTTTCAGTTCATAGTTGGCGGGCTCCAAGGCAGGGTGACATGGCAGAGAAGCATCACAGAGGAGAAAAAAAATTTGTGGCATGGAAGGCAGGAAGCAAAACGCAGCAAGTGACATGCCACTCAAGTAGCCCTCTTCCTCGCCCTTATATTCTGCCTAGGCTACCTGCCCTTAGGGTGGGTAGCACTCACACCCAGAGAGGATCTTCCCATTATCCACTCCCAGAATGATGACAACCAGTCAGTGGACTAGGTTGGTGATCACACACCACTGATCCCAGCATCACATACTCTAGATTCAGCTACCTCTGAAAGACCCCACCAATGACCACATGAGGCTTTGGGGGGACATCTAGATACAAGCCATAATAATAGGCCTTCCTCAAAGTCATACAATTGGCGTCATGCCCAGTGCTTTCAATTCCAAAGCTTGTGTTCTGGATCCCTCACCTCTCCTGTCATCAAGACCCAATGGTAAACTGCCCCTGGAGAGACCTAGTCAGAACCAGAGTGCAGGAGAACATCCAAACACCTAAGAAGACAGGAAAGCAAGAAGGCCAAGAAATAACTGAGTCTGCAGAGATGTAGTCATTGGTCCTCAGCGTATATGAGTGACCTTGCTGCCACCAGCTGGGCTGCCAAAGGATTTATTCACTCACCCAACACATTACTGAGCTCTGTCTCTCACCAGGTGTTGCTAGTTCCAAAGGAAACCATGGTAAACAAGACCCGCCTACCCTCCAAACGTAAATAGCAAGTGAGGAGAAAGGAAACAAATAAGAAGCGAATACACTAATAATAGGATTTCAGGTAATAATAACTCCAGGAAGAAAAGTAAAGCAAACTAAGGGACAGGGCTGCTACTACAGATGGGGGTCAGGTAGGTCAGGGAAGACCTCCCTGAGATGTCATTTGAGCAAAGATCAGCAGAAACACCTTCTAGAAAGGCTGGTAACATTGACCAGAGTCTGTTCCTCAAAAATACTTCTCTTCTCACAACTCCTGTCACCCCCACCCACTTCCCCTGAGTCTTTCTCTGTTTCACAGAGAAAAGAAGCCGTCAATAGGAGCCCTAAAAGTCAACCACCAAACCTGAAAAACCACCTCACCGGCACCCAACCTTTTCACCTGTCTGCCTGTTCCGGAAGAGAGTGTCTGGGGGCTCATCCAAGCCCAACCCCTTTGGAGTCCTCCTTCCACCAATCCGCCACCCTCCTGCATCATCACTGTCTCACTCTGTTTGCTGAATTCTTCCCCACCCAGATTTAAACATGTTCAAGTCTTTCCCAACTAAAAAAAAAGACACGAGGGGTAGGGGACAAACCTCCCTTGGTCCTGCTTCCTCCTAGCTCACCTAGCACTCTACTTTCCTCCTCCTTTCAAAACCTAAATTCTCAGCCAGGCACAGTGTCACACACCTGTTGTCCTAGCACTTTGGGGGCTGAGGCACAAGGATCATCATGAGTTTAAGGTCCACACTATGTAGTGCTGGGATTACAGGTTTGTGCCCTCTTGCCTGGCTGAGATCCTGTCTTTAAAAGAAAAAAAAGACAGAAAGAAAGAAAAAGAAAGACACCTAACTTCTCAAAGTGTTCCTCACACTCCAGCCCCCACCTCCTCACGACCCCTGCTGAGCCGTCCTGTTGTTAAGCTTGGAGGACTCTCCGCTGCTGTGCCTTAAGTGACTCTCTTTTTGTTGCTCTCTCCTGGATCACCTCCCCTTCTCCTGATGGCCCTCTTAGCACCTCATCCTCCAGGATGAGGCTCCCCTGAGTCCTGCTCCTGGCCTTCTCCCATCCTTCCTCTTCTCCTCTGGCTTCCTTTGCAACCTGCGTGCCAGTGATTCCTCACCAGACAGCTCATCCCAGCTGATCTTTCTCCCAAGGCACAGAAGCATCATCAAAACCCCCAGACATCAAGGCATGACATCCTGCAGGCCCCTGAGACCCAGCATTTTGAACCTCAAATGCACACACATGTGTTCACACACATCACATTTTCCCACCAAATCTGGCCTCCTTCTGTCCCTAGGAATAACACCATCATTCATCGCAATGCTAGCTAGCAAAAAGAGGGTGCCTGTGAAGGCCGGCTCTCCCTGCTGCAGACCCAAGGACTTTTACTTTGAAATCAACAAAGCAGACCTAAGAAAACCAGATGTAGCAGTTCCCAGAAAGAAGCTCCCACCATGAAGCTCTACAAATTGAGTGCCCAACACCCAGACATTGAAAGATTCTAACAGGCTTCAGCCTCGTCCTCCTCCTGAGCCTCAAATCAGCACATCTGAACTTCCACATAGAAATCCATCCCTCTTGGTTATAATCCTCCAATTCCCATCCCATGGCTCAAGGGGTCCTTTTCTTTTTTAGGTGGCATTGCCAAATTATGCTTTGATCTAGCTGTATTGATGCCCCAGGTAAACAAATTTCCAAGGAAAATCTTTGTCCCCTTTTGCTAGTGAGTGAAAGGAACCTCAATGACATCCTCACATCTGCAGCAGAGGCCTTCTATGCCCATCACAACAGCCCCAACCTATGCTACCATCACAACAGACCCAACCTAAGCTATTCTCCATTCCTCTCCATCCCACTGACTAATCCACATCTGCCTGGGTTGGCTCCACCCTGGGCCCCTGCTCCTATTTACTTTCCACCTCACTTCCTGTGTGCCCTCTGTCAATGTGTTCACCACTCCAAGTCAGTGTTATCTTTCTCAAGCACAAGTCTGACCTCATTGCTCCACTGTTTCAATCTTTTCATACTTGCCCTCATAATAGTGCAAAGGCTGTCAGCATGACCAGAAAGATCTACGTGAAGTTCCCTATCTACGTCCACCTTCATCTTCTCCATTCCGTCCTCCCTCTTACCATTCCGAAAGAGTTGAGCAATTGACACAGGAATAAACTATATCTCAAAAATCAAATTGAAGTCCTAAACAGATAGTACTCTTTCCAGCCTTTGTACCTGTACACGGGGAGCCTCTTTTGCTTTTGCTTCTGCACTTCTACAGGTTGCTACTTCCTGACCTCTTGGGGATCATTTCAGCATCATCTCCCTGAACTTATTCCTGATTACCAGGCTAAAGACACTCTTCTCTAGGTCCCAAATTTGTAAACTTTGCTATGTTATCCATCTCTTTCTCAGATCCAGAGAGAGACAGAGAGACAGAGAGACAGAAAGAGAGACAGAGACAGACACAGACACAGAGACACAGAGAAAAACAGGGACAGAGACAGAAACAGATCAAATTTCCCTGTCCCAACCTTAGGCCAACATTGAGCACCTTGTATGTGCACAGTCTCCCTCAGCCCCAGAGTGGAAGGAGGAGAACACTGCAAGAAAGGACATGCCCCTTCCTCAAGGGCACACATTCTACAAGCTGAGTAGAATGACAGGTAGATACTACCAAGGTTTCCAGGCTAATGGAAGACCAAGAAGGGAGAAAATAATCCTGATGAACAGCTCTTCCACACCCTGAGGACCTTTACCCACCAACCTTTCTCCTTCCCTTCCAATTCCCATCCTCACTGGGCCTAGGAATCAAATTTGTAGTGGCTTACCATGGCCCGATCGTGCCCTGAATTAAAATGCAGGTGTTCTGGGCCCAGTCTTGACTCAATTACTAAATCATTGTATGGGGGCTGGGGATTTAGCTCAGCGGTACAGCACCTGCCTGGCAAGCACAAGGTCGTGAGTTGGATTCCCGGTACCAGAAATAAATAAATAAATAAGTAAATCATTGTATGGATTTAAGCAAAGACTTTGCCTTCTCTAAATCCCAACTTCCTCATATTTATATTAATGACAGTAATCCCCACACTTCCCTCCCCATTTCTCAGGTTCAGGTGTGGACCCAACCTTTTGGTACAAGTGCCAAGCCCAGGAGGAGTGCAGTAATGTTTTGTTTGTGAAGGTTCCCCGGGCAATATTTCTGGTGCTTAAGAGCAGCCACCCTTCTCAGTTTTGCATACCTTCCTGGTGCCAAGCAAAAGCACTTCAGATAGTTGTGTTGGAGTCAAGAGGCCAAGGTGAGGCTATGTTTTAGTCTCATCATACAGTTCCAAAGTAGAGATGCAGGGGCCACTGGAGGGAAGAAAGCAATCTACTCCAGCATGGAATTGTAGAGAGATCAAGACCCCTGCCCTAGGGAAGCCCACTGGCTGAGGGCAAAACCAACTCTGATTGAGGCAGGTAGAAGTGGAGCGGGTACAAGAAGGGAATTGAAAGTCTCCCAAATGCTTCTCATGCTCCTTAGGGTCAGACTTCAATCAAGCTATAATCCTCCTACCATACCAGGTAGACTCTCCCCAAACCTCCTGACCGCTCCATTTATCTTCTCTGTCACTCTATCCTCTGTGGAGACCGTCCCTACTCTCCAGCATTCCTTGTTGGTTCTTTTGGCAATGTGTGATCTGTGCCAGGCTTTATGCTGGACCTTGAGGGCACAGGGATGAATCAAACCATATCTCCATCCTCCAGAGGTCACAGACTTATAGAAGATGGACAAGTGCTGAGATGTAAAGATGATGTGGAATCCTTCGAGCCACTTCATCCAGCCTGGGAGCAGGGAAGGCTCTGATATATGTTTTCCCCTCCAGACAGTGAGCTTCTGGAGAGCCCAGGCAGCATTTGATTCACTCCCCAACTCACCTGTCTTTTCCTGAATATCCCTAGGATGCTTATAGATTCACCATCCACCAAGGATTATTCCTTGGAGCAAGAATAAGCCTAAAAGTCAGTCCCATGTCCTATGTCAATCACAGAAGAGAGGCAATTCCCCAGACTGAGAATGAGAAAAGTGGATTCAGGAATAGGAAAGGAACTAAGACTCTGTGAGCCTTAGTTGCTGGGGTCTACACCTGGGTTCCCAAACCAGGCTTTGGATTAAAAACTGTGGGGAGGTTTTAAAACTCAGGCTCCTAGTCCTATTCTGACAAATTAGAATTTCCAGGTGCTGGCGGCCCAGGAATCTATTTCTCCTAGTTGACTCTAATTCCTTGCCCTGTGGTAAGAAACTACTGATCTAGGTCCCCATGACTGAAGACATTCCTGAGAGTGAATGTCAAGATGGTCCCTAACAGGAAGACAAGCCAGGATCTGAACCCAGGAAAGTGCCATGGTTCCAGAGCCACCCAGGGCATGGCAAAAGAAACCTCCCCCTTTGGGGATACCAGCCATTTAGGCACTGGGAGGTCTGTGTGACAGCACTTATCTCTGCCTTCCCTTTTATTTTCTGCCTGAGAAATGGAAATATTACACTACAGAGAGGAAACGTGATTTCCTAGTCCTATGGGACTACCAGGGCTTTGGGTTTTCCCCTGCGCTGTCATGGAACCTTTGGTACAATCTTGTCTGAACTTTGGGCCTCAGAATGATGGGAAGGGCTCTGGCCTGTTTGGGCACCTAACATGTTGACATGCTCACTGCTTCTGAAACCAGCTTAACAGGTTGGAGTGAGAAAGCAGTCCCAGAAAGAAAGCTGAGAGGAACCATAGCTCCCAGGACATGGGCCACTGCCCAGGCTGATGGTGTCCCTTGACAACCCCCAGTGGATTAGGCCTGATTCTCTGAAGGAAGGAAGGCCATCTCCTTTCTCCACCCTTCCCCACATACCTCGAGAGCATGCCCAAAGAGCCAGTGGGTAGGGGGCCCTGGGAAGTTGTCCATGGCCCTGGCCAGCTTGTGTCTCCTCAGCAGCAGGCGAAGAAGCTTGAGGAAGCCTATTACCAAGATCACTCCAGAAGCCCACAGGCTCAGGCTGGAGAAGCTCAGGGAGAGGAAGGTGGGTGCCATGGCTAGAGTTGCAGTGCTGACTCTGCCCAGCCTCCAGCTGCCCTTAGGTTCCTTTATACTCTAGACCCAGGCACCCTGCCATTTCCCACCCCCAGCCACACCCTGCGGCCAGTAGCAGCCCAGGCCAGGCTGAGTTCCAAAGGAAGGAGACAACAACCTCAAAACTAATCAACAGAGGAGGGAGCATACCAGACTTCTTCCCAAAACTTGCTTGAAGAGAAGTTTGTTAGTTTGAAGAAACCAGAAATGTCATCTCACCCGGTTCCTTGGAGGGACAAAGAGACAGAAATTCCTGGGATAATCACTGGCATAATAACAACTGACTTTTCCTTGTATTTGTCAAGGACTTTTTTTTTCCAGTATTGGAGTCTGAACCCATGACCTTGGCCTCCCAGAGTCCAGGTATAATGAGATCGCTCTTTACACTTATTTCCCAGACAATGAAACTAAGGCTCAGCTAGCTTGTTCTTTCTCATACGATATTTCCACTCTTCCCTTCAGTGTGGCCCCTCGGGAGGAACTTGAACTTTTGCCAGATTTGTGATGATTTGAGTCCTTTTTTGTGAGTCACTTTTAGAGATGATATTCTAGCCCCATACAGAAGGCCCTGGGTGAGAAAAGGGTCAACTGTGCCCCTAAACCATAGTACAGTTTTGACACGTCGGAACACAGAATATGTACTCCCTTGATGATGATAGAAGATCCCTTCAGGATGACGATACAAGATCATCAAATCCAATCCTTCTTGGATAGTGCAAGCCACTTTAGCCCAGAGGGAGGTAAGGAAAGGGCTAGAGTTGCACAGCAAGGCAGTGGCCAGCCCCAAGGCCTCAGCTCTGAGTTCTGTTGAAGAACAAGCTTAGCCAGGGGCCTGCCTTTCCAGGAGAGTGTCTGCTGTTTCCTCTTCCAGTGTTGGGTTGTATCAGTCAGGGGCCCAGCAAGACTTATTCACAGCAGGTGTTTCAGGTGAAGAGACATGGACACAGGACTCCTTTCAGAAGGAAGGCAGAGTCAAGGTACAGAACAAGTTAAGATGTGGTATCCAGCAGGAAGTCCATCAACACTCCCAGACTGAAGATCAAGGGGAAGAATAATGTTCTGAGAGTGAGGAAAGATGTATTTACAGGGGACACATCTGTCACCAAGTGTGATGCTGAGACAGTGAAGGAACAGAGAAAAAGTATCCCAAACCATTCCCTCTCCCACCTTCTAATCTACTGGTGTCTCCCATCAGTAAAACATGAGAAGGGAAGCTGGGAAAGTCGGTCTGTGGAAGGTAGCCTCTCACCAGGGAGAGAAAAGAAAAGACTGAGTATGGCAGGGAGAAAATCAGGACATAGATGGAACTGAAAGTCAGATCACAGAACTAAGGTGGCAGGAGCCGACTCAGAGATGACAAGGTGTCAACATGGCCTCTTTCTGCCTTCTAGCAGAAGGAGACCAATGTTAGAGAGTCCTCCCCACAGGCAGAGAAAGCAAGAAGTGGGTACAGTGAACAAACTCCAGACATGTCTGCTACATCAGTGTGTCACCTATCCTGAAATCCCATGTTTGTGCTTCATTTTACTGGACCAACACATGGTGTGCCCCACTTCAAATGCAAGCCACTCAGATCAGAGCATAAGGGAATATCATAAGCTATCTTCAGGGGCATACTCTGCCTTCTCCCTCTGGCCAGACTGTCATCTCCATGGAGGAGCCCTGGATAATCATGACTTTGGAGGAACAAGAAAACAGCCTGTTGCTAGACACAGGTGCAAGTCCCTCGATCCTTTGTTTCAATCTTGGCCTTCCTTCCAGCCATCACACCTCAGCGACAGGAGTCACTGGTAAGGAGGTAATATGCTATTTTTGACAACCCTTAGGCTGTAACTACTTGTTAGACCCTTCTTGCATATCACTGTCTTCCTGATAAACCACTTTGAAGATACCACCATGTACTACAGCAGCCACTGATATTTTCCTACTAATCTGTCCATAACTCTGTAATGTTTGTATTGTTCCTATCCTATTTCATAAATGGATGCATGTCTATTATTATGTGTTTCCTACAACAACCATTGAGAATAGTTAATGATTATTCAATAGGTCTCTCATGTATAGCTCTATTTATTTTCTTTAGAAGCCACTTTGAAGATACCAAAGTATAGTACAACTATTGATAATCTCCTACCTCTTTTGTCTGTAACTCACTATTATTTGTCTATGTGTTTTCCTGAGAAACTATTTTGTAGATAACAATATGTAAAACAATAACCATTGATAATTTCCTACCACTTTCTCTGTAATTTGGTAAGCCCCCCCATAATAATGTTATTCTTCTTTTACTCTTTAAAATAAAAAAAATCATAAGCTATCTCTTCAGAGTCCCATACTTTACAATGAATTCATTTATCAGCATGGTTCCAGCCTGGCAGTGTGATGAGGCAGTACTTAGGAAAGACCTTGAGGGAATTCCAACCTCACAAGGGAGCTGTGGCTCCTAGCAAGAAGTGTGTGAGCTTTCTTGTGGAAATGAAAATGGTTAGCCCAGAGGTCAGTACGTGGGTGGAGTGGACATTGATTGAATGACTCCCCAGCATATATTTCCTACTTCTCCCTCTTAACCAGAATAGCATCATGAATTTACTGCCTTCAGTATATTGCAGCAGGATTAACCTCACCCTCAAGTCAAGAAAGGGCCTGTATTTAGGTAAGAGAGCCTCCTTGTCACACCCTACTGTCTACTACCTGACTATAATTTGGTATCCACATTTCTAGGGCAAAAGTGACCTAAATCACAGGCTGGGCAGGAGAAAACTTTCAGGTCCTGATCCTGCTAGCTACCCACCCCTGGCCACCTTGGTAGTGTGATTAAGATGGTCTGTACTCACCTTTCCCACAGTAATTTATTGTTTCCAGGATGGAAAAAAAGTCAGCTAATCAGACCTAAAGAAATCCAGTTTCCAGTCTTAACTTAAACTATATGGAAGTAAAGTCTCTTTAATGTTGGACCTGAACCTGGAAGAATATAATCTTGTGAACTATTGGCGTGAGAAGAGCTGCTCAAGAATGTACTCCACACCAAAACAATAGAGCTGAGAAATATACATACACAAAGTGAATACCCATGTATTTGCCCATTTTCTACAGCTGAAGCTGGATAATTTGTAGATAAAAGAGCTTTGTTTAGTTCACAGCTTGGGAAGTTCATGGGCATTGGCTTTGGGTTGTCTCTGGTGAAGACCTCATGGTGGATGGTGTTGCATTGACAGGAGCACCTGCTGGAGGGCGAGGTTATATGGCCAGATAGGAAGCCTGAGGAAGGTTCAGGAGTCAGGCTTGCTCCTTTACAACAACTCTCTCATAAGAACTAATCAAGGTCTCACGAGAACTATACCAATTCCTTCGTTTTAAAAGCAGTGCCCTCAATGGCTTAATTACTCCCCATTGGGGCCCATCTATTAAAGGCACTACCACCTCTTAACATCACCATGCTGGGAACCAATCTTCTAACACATGAGCCTGTGGGGAATCCACTTAAACCTTACCCAGACTATAGCAACTATTTGTATTGTTTGAACTCCTAGACCAGTCATGGCAAATCTTTCAGAGCTTTCCATGATAACGAACAGCTCACTGCACCACCTCCTACAGCTCAGATTACCTTTGAACCTTGTAATTGTATGATTCAATAAAACCCCTTAACATTAGATCCAACTTGAGTTGAGTTTCCTGCTGCCTGAAACCACAGGATTTCTACATGATACACTAGTGAAAGCCCAGAAATGTAGGAAAGGTTTGGTGATGTGTGGCTGAAACATATTTAGGGAATTAGATTTGGGGAAACTGAGTGGAATTAACCTGAAAAATGACAAATAGGATTAACCTGGAATATTTTAAGAAGTAGGGCTCACCTAGTAAGTAGTGGGTTCAAAGAGGAGCTCTCAGAGGTATTCATACAGGTGTGATTAGTTTAGGAACAACTTCCATAAGAGGGGGATCAAGCGATCATCTGCCTATGGTGGAAGTGAGGAGCATAGTTTTCAAGAGAAGCACATATCTGAGATACTGTGAAGCAGCAAACCCGAAGGGAACAAGAATGTCAGGGAAGACCTGATGCCAATACCCCTAATGCTCTTTAATGAAATAAAAGGGCATGATGTACTCCTAAAGTAATTCCTGGAAACTAGCATTACCCTTATTCCAAAAACAGACAAGAACCCAAGCAAAAAAGAGAAGTACAGGCCAATCTCATTAATGAACATAGCTGCAAAAATCCTCAACAAGATCCTGGCAAACAGAATGCAGCAAATCATCATTCATCATGGCCAGGTACGCTTCATCCCAGGGATGCAAGAGTGGTTCAATACACACACATCGGTAAGTGTAATACGTCACATAAACTGAAGTAAGGGGAAAATCACATAATCATCTCAAATGATGCACAAATACCCTTTGATGAAGTCCAACATCCCTACATAATAAAGAAAATAAGTATTGAAGGACCTTTTCTCAATCTGACAAAAGTCATTTATGACACATCTACTGGCAACATCATATTAAATGGGGAAAGGGTGAAAGTTTTCCCTTTAAAATCAGGAACCAGTCAAGGATGTCCACTGTCACCACTCCTGTTCAACATATACTTGAAACACTAGCCAGAAGAATCCGGCAAGAAGAAGAAACAGAAAGAATATGTAAAGGAAAGAAAGAAATCAAATTATCATTTTGCAGATGAAATAATCCTCTACATAGAAGACCCAAAAAATTCTACCAAAGACTCTTAGAATAACCAAATTCTGTAGTGCAGGAGGATACAAAACCAACACACAAAAACCAGTAATGTCCCAGAACAGTAAAGAACTCACTGAGAAAGAAATGAGGAAAACAATACCATTCACAGTAGCATCAAGAAAAATTAAATACTTAGGAATTAAAAGAAATGAGCTAGGTGTTGTTACACACACCTGTAATCCCAGCACTCAGGAGGCTGAGGCAGGAGGATCACTGCAAGTTTGAGGCCAGCCTGGGGTACAAAATGAGCTCAAGGCCAGCCTGAATTG